GGGAGTCGTTCTGGAAAGACAGAACGACTAACTGGGGCCCATATATAAGCCGAGTTTAGGAGCCAGAGAAAAGAGAGAATTAATTCGGAAGTGAAAATTAGGAGCCAATAAGGGAAAAAGGAAAGTGGTATTGTATTGAGATTAATTATGAGTCTATAGTAGAACATGGATAGTATAAAAATTGAGTGAATTAAAGTGTGTGTTATGTGGATTATGGCTGAATATTTGTGGACTTTGCACTCTTGCAAAGGAAGAGTTTCCATTTTGGTTTAAAGTTTGCTCTGGCTTTATTGAAGGTGTTGAAAATGAAGAAGATAGTCTAAAGCAGATTCCATTCAGTTTTTTTTCTCCTATATAAGAAATGCCTAACGTGCTTAAACATTTATATTTTTGACCTTGCTTTTCAGTATTATTACGTTTATTGCCATCGAAGAATTTGGTAAATAAAGGGAACTTTGTATACATTTTCAAAGCCCACTTTGTCGGTTCATAGTTCGGTTTGGGTCGGTTGTTCAAACCAAATAAAATATGTTAATTTTTTAAATATTTGAACCAAATCAAATTAAGTAAATCAATTTTTCAAATATTTGAACCAAATCAAACTAATTAAGTCAGTTTTTCAAATATTTGAACCAAATCAAATTAAGTAAATCAATTTTTCAAATATTTGAACCAAATCAAACTAATTAAGTCAGTTTTTCAAATATTTGAATCAAACCAAATCAATTAAGTCAGTTTTTTATCGATTTGGTTTTTCGATTTTTTCGGTTATTCATCTGATTTTTTTCTTAAATATGAGACATACACTACCAAATGCATATTCTGGCGACTACATTTTTAACATAACACTATCAAATCAATTGTTCTTTGAGAAATCTATCATTTACCAAGATATATTGATGATAATTGAATCAAATAATGATAAATAGTTAAATTACTCAATTAAAAATTAATTATTTTTAACATGAAATAAATAATTGTACTTAGCAAAAGAAAACTATCGATCAAACTAGAATGTAAAGGCAAGAATTAGATTATTTTAGTAGCATATTTTTAACTAAAGTAAATTACAAATGACACATGCATAGGAGTACATTAGCTAGCACTTATTTTGGAGTATGTATTATATCATCAAAAGAATTATTGTTCCATCCTAAGAAAATGATGGAAAATTATGAATTTTTAAAGGACCTTATTAATGCAGATTCAGTTATAATTTTCTTTTTTTTATAGTACTCTAAAAAAAATTCAAAATAAGTAAAGACTCGATGCTTGATTTATAGTAGGGCAAAATATAGAATTTGCCGATTAGGACGAAACAAATTTGATCCGCCTCCAAAGTACATAAAATATGTGTATTATAATGTATATTTTTTTGTAAAGAAAGAAGATTGACAACTTTCCAGCTAGAGACAAATAATTTTCCAATATATATATAATCAGAATGTACAATAGATATTGTAAAATTATTCTATTTGGCTAAAGTGCCTACTTAATTATGAAACATTTGCTATTTCATGAAGAAATAGCTTTTGTTTTATAAAATTTGAAAACAAAACATCAAAATACAATTTAAACTATTTTACTATTGAGAAAGTAAATAAAGTCCTATAGAAAAAATTATTAATTTCTTTAACTCGTAGTTAGGTAATGTAGACATATAATTTTTTACTCTCTCTAAAATTTTATGCCAATTATTTATTTTAGGCCTAATATGGCTATTTTGGCTAAAGGAAACCAAATGAAATGCGGACCTCACCTTATCTATCCGTAGGAAACTCCTACTCACTGATTTCTTTCGGGGTGGGACCACACATTTTGAATATAACGCAATACAGGACAATTGGATATTTGGATTAAGCTTCATCACAATATATTTTTCTAGACCTAAGTGAATAATACCTCTTTTAATTTTTTCTAGATTTAAATTTTAGTCATGTAATAGTCTTTACATTTGGTAAATATATGGGATTGCACTAGTGTTAAGCTTGGGATGAAATTTATTTATGTTAAAGAGCTCTAGTGTGAATTTGACACCTGTTCGTGAATTAAAAGAAGGCAGAAATTGACATCTTGTGACTTGACTGGTTCGTAGCGGTTAAACACTAAAAATAAGCAAAAATGTTCGGACGTTATTTCATTTCCTCATTATCGCTAGGAGCATGCTTAGGTCGATCATATCCGGAGTAGGCAACTTTAAGACGTTTTCTTTGTTTTTGGCTCCAGAGGCGAAAGGTTTTTTCCTTAGTTGTTATTTATCCGGGGAATGCCCCGTAGTACTTGTATTTAGAGGTTGTGACGAGCATCGTAAAGAAAGCAGTGTAGGATAGAATGGAAATTTTAGTATATTTTCTTTTAGTACTTTTCTTTTCTTCTCTTATTTTTCTTTTATTAGGTGGGAACGACCTCGAGCCTCTTTTGTATTTATTTTTGCTTTTGTGTGTTTATACCTCAATCTGAGTATTCTTTAAAGTCAACCGGATCAAGTATGCAGCCGTACTAGTTACGGGACTTGGGGAGTGCCTAACACCTTCTCCCCGAGTCAAATGAATCCCCTTAGAATCTTTGGTGCAAATCAGTTTTTTGAGTCAAATATGTTTTTAAAGGAAAATTATTTTTAAATAGTGACTTGGCACACCTAAATTTTATTTCAAGTGGCGACTCTAAGAAAATCTCTTTTAAACAACACTTTGTCACTATCAATTTGAAAATCCTTTCGAGCTATAAAATCACTTTATAGTTTTTAAAAGAGAGTTAAGGTGTAAAAATGGGGTGTGAGAGGTAATACAAACTGAGACAAAGAAATGAGAAAAAAATAATAGAATATTTAGCAATATTTATGAGTTTAATATAAATATCTCAGGATTAGATTATATTATTCGTAGCTTTTATTCGTCTATAGTTGTATATGGTGAATGATCAATTAATGTGAATTTCGTTTAGACATCATCATAAAATATGGAGAAAACAATATTTGAAGTTGGAGTTACATAAATTTTAATTTTCGTCTTCTCACAAAGTTACAAGTGGCATCTCTAGCTTATATTTATAGGCGCATGTACTCTCAAAATTTTTCTTCTTAAACGTGAACTTCATAATAAACAAAAAAATAGAGTTTTTTACAGTTTTTATTATTAATTAAAACTAGTATTTCTTTCCTCGGTAATAAAGTATTATCTAACTTCAGCATATTTATTTCTAAAATCTTATAAAAATAATACTAGAGTCCTTTTTTTGATAAACAAGGGAAGCTTATGTTCTTAAATTAAAATTAATCTTTCACTTCTATCATTGTAAATTAATATTAATCTAACTTTAATAATACCCATTTCTAAATCTTATAAAAAAATAGTAAAAAGTAAAATAGAGTCCAACTTAACGTAAAAACAAAAATTAAATAATCACCTTACTTGTAATGTTATTTTCCTTATTAATATTTAAATAGCTTAAAGAGTATATAGAGAGAGAGACTTTTGAAAGCAGTACATTTAGCAGCTTTCATGAACGTCTTTATGATCAATAATACGTTTTATTTTAGTTAAATTAATTTGGCAAAAGTAATTATGGCTTTTAAATCAAAAAGGCATTAATTAATTTTTTTCCATATCTATCCTTGATTCAATAAATAATTTTTTATGAGGATATACAAAGAGTAATTTACGATGATATAAAGGATAATTTAGCCAAATAACACTTGTAAGTAAAAATTTATATTATCAATGCATGTATATTAAGAAAACAATTTATACATACTAATTAGCAACAACTTAAACAAAATGTTGTTGGGCTCATGTGCAGAATGGGCTATTCTTTACTAGTTATAAGACAAGTTACATATATGATCTGTCGGTCAAAAATAATTATATTCGTTAGCAAAATATACACTGATTATATATATAAATATGTATGTTATATATTAATATATATAAAATATATTTTTTCCGACTATTATTTAATTTTAGAGCGGCTATATACTGTCAAACATCTCTAGACCAGTCTCATTTGTTCCGATATTTTTTTGTTGTTATAATAAGTGTTATTATAAAAGACATATATTATAACATAATACAAAAGCGATTTCGAGTATAATATGATTTTTATAGTGAATGATTGTTATATAAGGATATTATTATAGAGAAGTCTGACTATAGTATATATATATTTTTTTTATATAGCCTCAATGACGGATTTAAAATTTGAATTTTATGGGTTCGGGTTCAATATTTTCCTACGACTCATTTAACTGGAGTTGAAATCGATGAGTATATTTATACTTAGTTAATAATTTGTTTAACATATATATAAATCTAAAGCAACATTATTGAGTTATGACAAACCTATAACTTACGCATAATAAAACTGTCCCCCTCTTACCGTCAACTTATAGACAGACATCCTAACAATGAGATAGAAGAACGTACGTGCGTTCGTCGGTCGTCACGGTACGATATTTAGATATTTTAATTCGGTATTTTTATTATTCGATTTCGTAAAATACTATACCAATACCGTACCTAATAAAATTTGGTATGGTTCAGTTTTTCTCCTTTCGGTTTCGGTTTAATCGGTTCGGTAACTTCGATTTATTCGGTTTGAATACTAATTAGTGCATAGAATCATAGACGATAATATTCTTAATTAAAGTACTCAAAAGTACAAAACTAAAAATATTTGTTGACAAAAGTTTTGTCCAAAACCAACAAATACCAACCTAGAGAGAGAAAATTTAGAGAACTATCTTGTTACTTGCTTAGAGTTAATTGATAAACTTAGAGAATAAAGGAAAGTAAAAAATTAGATTTCTTATATTTATGTTATAATTAATAAAATGTGTATTGTATAATATAATATATATTTTGATACGCTATCGATATTTCGGTATTTAATTTTAAAATATTAAATACCATACCTAATACCAATTTTTTTTTTTAAACTTAAACTAAATACCATACCGAATACCAAAATATCGAATATCGAATATAAAAATTTTTGATTTTAATACGGTAATTCGATATTTACCAAATTATGCACGGCCCTAGAAGAACGACTCTCCAAATGTAATGCAATAATTACGGTACTCCTATGACATGTCCTCATGATGTTACAAATCATCATCTTTTTTCTTGTCTTTGTTGATAAGGAAATGTTGAGTTAAGCTGACCTAAAAATACTTTTAAGATAGTGTAATATTATATTTTGGATAAGTTCAAATAATTTTTTCTAAGAAGTCTCGCAAAATTAAGATTATTATATATCTATATATATGTGAAATTTTATTCGAACGCATAATAATATCTTCCTCGAATTAAGTTTTACGTGC